AAAAAAACCATTAAAAAGTGGGCAAGGATAGGAACAGACACTTTTCAAAAGAAGATGGACATGTGGCCAACAAACATATTTTTAAAAAGCTTGAATGATGATGATGGGGGGCAGGGCCAAGATGGCTGACTAGAAGCCGTGGCAATGGGAGGCTCCCATCAAACAGAAACAAAACAGCATGTGAATCTTCCACCAGCAACTGAGCTATCCAGGTTCTGCCGTCAGAATTGACTAGGTGGCTGACGTGACCCATGGAGAGGCAGGAAGAGAAATGCGGTGCAGCGGGCCACCTGAGAACCACACAGGGCAAGGAGCTCCCAACCCCCAGCCAAGGGAAGCGATGAGTGAGCATGCTACCCAGCCTTGGAAACTATGCTTTTTCCAAAGAACTGTTCAACCCATGGATCGGAAGATCCCACTCATGAGCTCATGCCTCTGGGGACTAGGATCCCAACCATGGAGCCACACAGGTTCTCAGCAGCCACTCAGCTAGAACCTGACTAATCCTGGCAAGTTCCTGGAGGGAGAGGCGGCATCACCACAGCTGCAGCTGCCTGCTGTCTAAGCTGTTTTAGCTTTTTGGGGGAGGGGCGGCAGCCAACACTGGGGCTGCTAGCTGCCTGACACACTAATATCTAAGGGTGGAAAAAGGGTGGTAGCCATCTCTACAGCTCCAGACAAAGGTCTAAAGTCTAGCATCTATTAAAAAACAAACAAAAAACAACTTAAGTTTATAAGAAAAATAGCCCCATTAAAAAGCGGGCAAGGGCGTGAACAGACACTTTTCCCCTGCTGAAGCCAGGGGGGCTGGGCCAATTGGTCCTAAGAGGTATTCCCCATAGCTTAACACACAGGTTGTGACAACCTGCGGCCAGAGTACCTCTTCAGGCCTGACCTTGACCCATCCCTCCTCACTAGGTAGGGCCTCCCTGTAGGAATTCCAACAACTCCATCCAGGGCCTCAAGGATAGAACTCTGATCTCCCTGGGCCTGAGCCCCTAGGGGAAAGGGTGGCCATAGTCTCCACAGACAAACAGACTTAGTCTTTCCTCCTGCTAATTCTGAGGAATCTGGGCAGCCCAGATGAGTTGGTTTCCCCCCAGCAAGGCTCATCTCCTCCACCAAGGGACAGCCAAAGTTATTTGTTAAAGGGGTCCTACGTCCCATGCCACCCAACTGGGTGAGATCCTCCAACAGGGGTTGTCAGACACCCTATACAGGAACATTCCTACTGGCATCAGGTTGGTGCCCTTCAAGGTCAGAAATCACAGAGGAAGAAGCAGCCACCCATCTTTGCTGTTCTCCAACCACTTCAAGTGACATCTCCAAGCACAGGAGCAAACCAGAAGTGAACCTGAAGTGAGCCCCCAGAAAACTGCAGCAGTGCTACAGAAAAGAGACCTAACCATTGAAATAAAAACAAACAGAAAGCAACAACAGCAGCATAAAAAATCCCTACAAAAACCTTATCCAAGGGTCAGCAGCCTCAAAGATCAAAGCTAGACAAACTCATGAAGAAATAAATCAACAAAAAAGAGCTAAAAATCCAAAAGGCCAGAGTGCCATTTTTCCTCCAAATGATTGCAACACCTCTTCAGCAAGGGCACAGAACTGGTTGGAGGATGAAATGGGTGAATTGACAGAAGTAGGCTTCAGAAGGTAGGTAATAACAAACTCCGCTGAGGTAAAGAAGCATGTTCTAACCCAGTGCAATAAGCTAAGAATCTTAATAAAATGTTATCAGAACTTCTAACTAGATTAACCAGTTTAGAGAGGAACGTAAATGACCTGATGGAGCTGAAAAATACAGCATGAGAACTTCATGAAGCCTACTCAGTATCAACCGCTGAATTGATTAAACAGGAGAAAGAATATCAGAGATTGAAGACCATCTTGCTGAAATAAAGCAGGCAGACAAGATTAAAGAAAAAAGAATAAAAAGGAATGACCAAAACCTCTGAGAAATATGGGACTATGTAAGAAAATGGAACTTATGATTGTTTGGAGTACATGAAAGAGATAGGGAGAATGGAACCAAGTTGGAAAATACACTTCAGGATATTATCCAGAACTTCCCCAGCCTAGCATGACCAGGCCAACATTCAAATTCAGGAAATACAAAGATCACCATTAAGATACTCCATGGGAAAACCAACCCCAAGACATATAATCATAAGATTCTGCAAGGTCAAAATGAAGGTAAAATGTTAAAGGCAGCCAAAGAGAAAGGCCAGGTCACCCAAAGAGGGAAACCCATCAGACTAACAGTGGACCCCTCAGCAAAAACCCTACAAGACAGAAGCGATTGGGGGCCACTAGTCAGCATTCTTAAAGAATTTCAACTCACAATTTCATATCCAGCCAAACTAAGTTTCATTAAAGAAAAAAGGAGAAATAAAATCTTTTTTTTTAGGTAAGCAAATGCTGATGGATTTTGTTACCACCAGGCCTGCCTTGCAAGAGCTCTTAAAGGAAACACTAAATATCAAAAGGAAAAACCGGTACCAGCCATTGCAAAAACACACCAAAATATAAAGACCAATGACACCATGAAGAAACTGCATCAACTAGTGTGCAAAATAACCAGCTAGCATCAAAACAAAGTCAAATTCACACATAATAATATCAACATTAAATGAAAATGGGCTAAATGTCCCAATTAAAAGACACTGACTGGAAAATTGGATAGAGCCAAAACCCATCAGTGTGCTATATTCAAGAGACCCTTCTCATATGCAAACACACACACAGGCTCAAAATAAAGAAATGAAGGAAAATTTACCAAGCAAATGGAAAGCAAAAAATAAAAAAATAAAAAAATAAACCAACAAAGATCAAAAGAGACAAAGAAGGGCATTACGTAATCGTAATGCGTAATGGGATCAATTCCACAACAGGAGCTAATTATCTTAAATCTATATGCACCCAATACAGGAGCACCCAAATTCATAAAACAAGTTCTTAGAGACCTACAAAGAGACTTATACCTCCACACAATTATAGTGAGAGACTTTAACACCCCACTGTCAATAGTAGATCAACGAGACAGAGTATTAGCAAGTATATTTAGGACTTAAATTCAGATCTGGATCAAGGGGACCTAATAGATATCTATAGAGCTCTCAAATCAACAGAATATACATTTTTCTCAGTGCTACATGGCACTTATTTTAAAATTGACCACATAATTGGAAGTAAAACATTCTTCAGTCTCTCAGATCACAGTGCAATCAAATTAGAACTCAGGATTAAGAAACTCACTCAAAACAACACAACTACATGAACACAAATTGAACAATCTGCTTCTGAATGACTCCTGGTAAATAAGGACATTAAGACAGAAATCAATAAGTTCTTTGAAACCAATGTGAACAAAGAGACAATGTACCAGAATATATGAAACACAGCTAAAGCAGTGTTAAAGCAGAAATGTATAGCTCTAAATGCTCACATCAGAAAGGTAGAAAGATCTCAAATCAACACTCCAACATCACAATTAAAAGAACTAGAGAAACAAGAGTGAACCAATCCAAAAACTAGCAGAAGACTAGAAATAACTAAGGTCAGAGTGGAAGTGAAGAAGACAGAGAAACAAAAAATCCTTCAAAATGTCAACGAATTCAGGAGCCGGTTTTTCAAAAAAAGTTAACAAAATAGACCACTAGCTAGACTAATAAAGAAGAAAAGAGAAAAGAATCAAACAAACACAATAAAAAATGATAAAGGGAATAGCACCACTGGCCCCACAGAAATACAAACTACCATCAGAGAATACTATAAATACCTCTAGGCAAATAAACTAGACACTCCAGAAGAAATGGATAAGTTCCTGGACACATACGCCCTCCCAAGACTAAACCAGGAAGAAGTCAAATCCATGAATAGACCAATAACAAGTTCTGAAATTGAGGCAGTGATTAGTAGCCTGTCACCACAAGAAAAGCCCAGGGCAGATGGATTCACAGCCAAATTCTACCAAGTAAATGGAAAGGAGTTGACACCATTCCTTCTGAGTACTAAAGAAGTTTGTACGATTCCTTCCGAAACTATTCCAAACAATTGAAAAGGAGGGACTCCTCCCTAATTCACTTTATGAGGCTGGCATCATCCTAATACCTGGCAGACACACTACAAAAAAAGAACTTCAGGCCAATATCCCTGATAAACATTGACGGAAAATCTTCAATAAAATAGTGGCCAAAAATCCAGCAACATAGCAAAAAGCTTATTCACCATGATCAAGTCCGCTTCTTTCCTGGGATGCAAGGCTGGTTCAAAATATGCAAATCAATAAATGTAATCCATCACATAAACAGGACCAATGACAAAAACCATATGATTATCTCAATAGATGCAGAAAAGGGCTTTAATAAAATTCAACATCCCTTCTCTCAATAAACTAGGTATTGATGGAACATATCTCAAAATAATAAGTGCTATTTATGAGAAACCCATAGCCAATATCATATTGAATGGGCAAAAGCTGGAAGCATTCCTTTTGAAAATCAGCACAAGAAAAGGATGCCTCTTTCGTCACTCCTATTCAACATAGTATTGGAAGTTCTGGCCGGGGCAATCAGGCACGAGAAAGACATAAAGGGAATTTGAACAGGAAGAGAAAATGTCAAATTGTCTCTGTTTGCATATGACATGATTCTGTATTTGGGAAGTGCCATTCCCTCAGCCCCAAAACTTCTTAAGCTGATAAGCAACTTCAGCAAAGTCTCAGAATACAACATATATGTGCAAAAATAACAACTATTCCCATACGCCAACAATAGACAAGCAGAAAGCCAAATCATGTGTGAAATCTCATTCACAATTGATACAATGAGAATAAAATACCTAGGAATACAATTTACAAGGAATGTGAAGGACCTCTTCAAGGAGAACTACAAACCACTGCTCAAGGACATAAGAGAGGATACAAATAGATGACAATCTACAGAATTTGATATTATTTTTTGCAATCTACCCATCTGACAAAGGTCTAATATCCATAATTAAGGAACTTAAACAAATTTACAAGAAAAAGCAAATCACCCCATCAAAAAGTGGGCAAAATATGTGAACAGACACTTCTCAAAAGAAGACATTTGTGTGGCCAACAAACATGCAAAAAAGCTCAACATCACTGGTCGTTAGAAAAATGAAAACCCAAATCACAATGAGATGACATCTCACACCAGTCAGAATTTTGATTATTAAAAAGTCAAGAAACGATGCTGGTGAGCCAGTGGAGAAATATGAACACTTTTACATCATTGGTGGAAATGTAAATTAGTTCAACCATTGTGGAAGACAGTGTGATGATCAGTCAAGGATCTAGAACCAGTAATATCATTTGACCCAGTAATCCCATTACTGGATATATACCCAAAGTGATGTAAATCATTCCACTATAAAGATACATGCACATACATATTTACTGCAGCATTATTTACAATAGCCAAGACATGGAAACAACCTAAATGCCCATCAATAATAGACTGGATAAAGAAAATGCGGTACATATACACAATGGAATACTATGTAGCCATTAAAAGTAATGAGATCGTGTCCTTTGCAGGAACATGGATGAAGCTGGAAGACAACATCCTCAGCAAACTAACAAAAGAACAGGAAACCAAATTCCGCATATTCTCATTCATTAGTGGGAGTCGAACAATGAGAATGCATGGACACATGGAGGGGAACAACATACATTGGGGCCTGATGGTGGGGAGATGAGGGAGAACATCAGCAGAAATAGCTAATGCATGCAGTGTTGAAAACCTAAATGATGGGTTGACAGGTACAGCAAACCACCATGACACTCATATACCTATGTAACAAACATTCACATTCTACACATGTATCCTGGAATTTAAAGTAAAATAAAAATAATTTTTTTTAAAAAGCTCAACACCACTGATCATTAGAGAAATGCAAATCAAAACCACAATGAGATATCATCTCACATCAATCAGAATGGCTATGACTAAAATGCCAACAAATAATGGATGCTGCTGAGGTTGTGAGGAAAAAGGAATGCTGATACACAGTTGTGCTGTTGTGGGTGTATAAATTAGCTTCCATTGTGGAAGACAGTGTGGCGGTTCCTCAAGGCAGAAAAACCATTCAACCCAACAACCCTATTGCTGAGTATATACCCAAATGAATATAAATCATTCTATTATAAAGACACATGCATGTGTATGTTCATTACAGCACTATTCATAAGAGCAAAAACAAGGAATCAACCTAAATGCCATCAACAGTAGACTGGATAAAGAAAATGTAATACATTTTCACCATGGAATACTATGCAGCCATTAAAAAGAACTAGATTATATCCTTTGTAGGAATATAGAGCTAGAGACTATTATTCTTAGGAAATTAACACAGAAACAGGAAACTAAATACTATGTTTTTTCACTTAAAAATAGGAGCTAAATGATGAGAACACATGGACACATAGAGAGGAACAACAGACACTGGGCCCTATTTGAGGGTGGAGGGTGACAGGAGGACGAGGATCAGGAAAAATAGCTATCGGGTACTAAATTCAGTACCTTGGTGATGAAATAATCTCTGCGACAAATCCCCATGATACATTTACCTATATAATAAACCTGCACATGGACTCCTGAACGTAAATTTAAAACAACAAGAAGAAACATTGGAAGACCCTCAGCAGACCCAGATACATGGGTATTTGCTTCCTTTATTCCTCTCCTCAGTCTGTCCATTTAGATAAACCACAGCCAAAGAGGGCTACAGGCACCAATGCCTGGTCGCAGACTCAGATGCATATGTGGAGAAGTCATGCTGTCCATTCCAGCCCAATGGACAGTGTAGGGAACAGAAGCAAGATTCCCCACTGTGTCATGTCTAAATTCCTGACCAACAGAATCATGAAAAATAATAAATTTTTTAAGCCACTAAAAAAAAATGTAAAAATTATTCTTAGCTCATGAGGCATACCTAAACAGGTACCTGGCTAGATCTGGCATGAGAGCCAGAGTTTTCCCAGCCCTGCCCTAGCCACTCATCATAGACCCTAATGAGGAACAACTTGTTCAAACTATACTGTAAGCTTTGTTGGCCAGGTGTGCTGTCTCACACCTGCAGTCCCAGAACTTTGGGAGGCTGAGGTGGGCAGATCACTTGAGGCCAGGAGTGGAGACCAGCCTGGCCAACAAGGTGAAACCCTGTCTCTACTAAAAATACAAAAACATTAGCTGGGCATGGTGGCTTGCACCTGTAGTCCCAGCTACTTGGGAGAATGAGCCAGGAGAAGTGCTTGAACCCTGAAGGCAGAGGTTTCAGTGAGCCGAGATCATGCCACTGCACTCCAGTTTGGGCAATAGAATAAGTCTGTCTCAAAAAAAATAAAAATAAAACCTATACTGTAAAACATGTTGACACATCAAAGGAGACTGCAGGCTGAGAATCTGCTGTGATTTGGGGGGAAAAGTGCTCAATCAGATGTCTTTATATTTTATTGCTTTTATATAAGTGGGCTATTTAAAAAAAACCTTCAGTGGAAGATATGATGGTAAGTGTATGCCGTGTATATTTTGAACACAGTACCTGGAGTAAAAGTTAGTTAAAATTCAAATGAGGAAGAACTATTTTTGTTAACCAAAGAGTTCCTGAAACTAATCGCACCTCTGGATTGGTAGCAGTTCTACAGTAGTCAGAGTTTCTCTGGATAAACTACTCTGCAGCCTGCCTCTCCATAAAGTTTGACTGCTCAGATACCACATTATTGCCTTGTAAAACCAGAGCGTCCCTTCTATTATTATCCATCTCAGGCTTAAAGTATAACAGATTACAATAAAGACTCTCTTTATAAGATATGGTTAAAGATTATTTCCCAGTCCATTTGGTAGCACTTATGTTAATACCGTCAAAGCAGGTCCCCAAAAGGTAGTAACAAAAAAATTCAATGGCACTTACAAGATTTCCTCAAAAGGAGGTTCTGGTGACAGCTTTTCATTTTGGAGGAACTGGTAAAAGTGGAAGTTCTAAGGTACTTATTTCTGCTTTTACCTATTTGTTTCAATACATGAGGCTTTATCCATCACTGACATGCACCAGTTCCCTTCTTCTTCTTCCTTTTTCTGTTTTCGATATAATTAGGCTCAGGGGGACTTGATATTTGTCTTCAAATATTTGAAAGTCTGTCACATGGAAGAGGGATTAGACTTGTTCTGCCTGGTCCCAAGTGGTAAAACTAAGACCAACTCTGCAGAAACTACAGGGAAACATTTTTTTTTTTTCCCTGATAGTGATCATATTTTTCACAGAGCTGTCCAAAACTGGGATGACTCTCTTAGAATTTCAAGTCACTTAAGGTATTCAGGCAGAACCCAGATTACTATTTGAAGGGAAATTTTCAAAGAGAATTCAAACATTCTACAATAGTTAAACTATCAGTTACAAGATTCTGTGAGTCATTGAATTGTTGGCCATTATGTAACATCATAATGATAGCAGCTCTGTTATTTGACTATTTACTGTTTTCAAATACTGCACCAAAGTCTACATACTTAATCCCCACAACACCAATAAGGTCTATATAATTAGTACATAAATTTCATAAATAATGATATCAAGGGCTAAAAAGTAACTTGCCCTAAATTACATGAGTAATAAATGAAAGGTCCTGGGTTTGAATCCAGACCTACTTGAAACCAGGTTCCATACTCTTAAAACTATGCTGCTTCTTTGTAATGAATGGTGGCATATAATGAGCTTTAAGGACCCCATTTGTGTTCCATGATAACTTTTAATCTAAGATAGACAAAAACCAAGGACAAAGAGTATCTGCATACAACACCTTAAGCTGTAAAATGAATGTATCAACATGTATGTCATGTATGTGACAAAAACATGCTGAGTGAAAAAAGTGGCAGAATAATATGTGCCATTTGACTCTATTTACATAGAATTTTAAGAATAGAAATAACAAACTATATGGGGCTGCATACATGTACTTTAAAAAAAAATGGATGGATATAAAACGTACCAATGAAGTTGTAGTAATTATTTCTGAGGAACGAGGAAAAGAAATGTAATTGAAGTAAGTTAAAAGAGGCTTTAAACGATCCATCTGTGATATTTGGGTTCTTTAAAAATGAAAGAGAGAGAGAGAGATCTGAAGCAAAGTGAGTAAAATAAGATTTTCTAAAAGATACGGAAATATACATGGTTTTTATCTTATATACTTTGATACTTGAAACATTTTATATATATAACAAAATTGAAGCAGAAAATCTCATATGCCATTATGTGGCAGACTAAATATACATTAACCTGTATCTCTCCCATTGCCAATGTCAACAAAAATGACAGAAAAAAAATAAACAGTCTATGAGCCACATAGATATCCAGAACAGGAAAGGATCCAAGCGTAGTGAAGAGAAATTAATCTGAGTGGAAAAGCAGCAGCTGAAGTAGCATACCTGAGAACACTGATCACCAGACCTACAGGGCAGGGGTGTGCAAAGGAATTAAAAATGCTCAGTCATCAAAGTCGAAAGTTATGAAGTCATGTATTCATTAGTTCAACAAACATTTATCGAGTACCTAATAGGTGCCAAGCCCTGTTCTAAAAATGGGGCTTTTCACTATGAACACATAGTGAACGTGGTGAGCAGAGTCAGTCGGTGAGCAGGACTGACTGAAAGGCTTAAAGAGTTGCAGGGAGACTCCCAGGTATATTCTACATCACACTGGGTGGCTGCCTTTTGTCTGCTACACCTAGGTTACTTACTCTGGAGAAGTTGAAACAAATAAGCTCTAGAGAAAGTAGAGATACAGTTATAGAAGAGTGTGTTTCATACTTAGAGCAGAGAGAGTGACAGTGAATACCCTGAATAGTGAGATTGCTGTACAACCCCTCCAGCTCCACCCCAGGCTTATCTCCTGAAGTGCTACCTGTCAGGTTTTTATCCACCTCCCAGAAAATTGCTACATTCTTAAGTGGAGAAGTGGAGAAGTTCCAGAGAAAGAAATTTGGATACTGACATTTGGAGGCCCTCAACCCAGACAGGCAGAGTCAACCTTATTACCCAACTGTGAAGCTCTCTAGTTGACAAGCCCCAACCACAGAGTTTTATTTTTTTCTTTTTTTGTAGATAAAATAGCTGTATTATTTTTTTCTAAATCTAATTATTTGAATACTCGGGTATTAGGAGAAGAGACCAAAGAGACAGACTGTCTATATTTTAGAACATATTTTTAGCTGAAATATTTTTTGAAACAAATACTGTTGATTTGTTTGATGAAATTCCTTGGATACTGTAATGGCAAAAATGTAAAGTTTATAAGACCTTTTCTAGGTCCTTTTTTAAAGGCTGCAATCACACTTGGTTAACAACATTTTTTTCAGGTTTAATTTAAAACAATTATTATGGGCTATTGCAAAAGAAAGACAATTTTTCTTGTTAGAATGAATTAATGAAATTATCAACATGATTGTGCTTTTATATGGAATTTTTTTTCCCTTCATTCCCCCCTCCGCACCCCATCTCTGCTGCCCCTTCCTGGCCTCTGGTAACTACAATTCTTCTATGTTGATGAGATACTTTTTTTAGCTCCTACCTATGAATGAGAGCAGACTGCTTCAGAGGGCATTTGAATAGGGCTTTTTGTTTGCTGTTGTTTTCTTAGTGTCTCTTTTTTTAAATATGAAAGTCAATGGTGACCAGACATTTGAGGAAAGCTTCTAATGTAAAAGGAGGATTCCAAAACTGAAAAAGAGAATACAAAAACAAAAACTGAGGAAAAAATGCAATACGAGAGGAAGAAGAAAGGTAAGACTAAAACTAAAATGCAAACCAAATAAAAGCATCTATAATTAATATCCTTAGAAAGATACTAAGAGGAAATACATCTCTAAAATAAGAAAAGGGTTCCATATAAAAATGTCAGAGAAGGCTGGGCACGGTGGCTCACACCTGTAATCCCAGCACTTTGGGAGGCCTAGGCGGGTGGATCAGGAGGTCAAGAATTAGAGACCAGCCTTGCCAACATAGTGAAACACCCTCTCTACTAAAAAATACAAAATAGTTAGCCAGCGTGGTATCAGGCATCTGCCTGTAAACCGAGCTATTGGGGAGGCTGAGGCAGGGGAATCACCTGAACCTGAGAGGTGGAGGTTGCAGTGAGCTGACATTGTTCCATTGCACACCGTCCTGAGTGACAGTGCGAGATGCCATCTCAAAAAAAAAAGAAAGAAAGAAAGAAAGAAAGAAAGAAAGAAAGAAAGAAAGAAAGAAAGAAAATACTGTCAGAGAACAAAATAGTGCTCTAAGAAACTAAAAATATTACATAACAATTTAAGGTAATTCCATACATATATTTGTACAATCAACTTAATGGTTGAGAAAAATTCCCAAAAAACTAGAATGAAGGATAAAAATATCAGTACAGAAATATAAGAAGATTAAAAAACCAAACTTGGAAATTTGTATTTCCAGATAGAATATATAAAGTGAAGGGTGTGAAGGGTAGAAGAAATTGCCAAAATATAGTTTTTGTCATCTACAATATCAGGGATGACATAAATTGAAGATAATTATCTTTACAATTATTTAAGTATAAAGATAATTAAAGATCTGCAATTAAACCTATACTTTGAAATTTCAGAATTCCAAACACCTAACAGGGAAGATCCTAAATGTTTTCAGAGCAGAAACATAAAAATATGAGAAATGGTATTATTGAACTTCTCTATGCCAAGGAAAACGATTTACAACCTGGAATTCTATACCTGGCCAAGCTATCACTAAGTTAGGAGGATACACTAAAAACATTTTCAGACAGGAAATGTCTCAAAATTGTCTTTTCCTAGGAAACTCCTGGAAGATACGCTTCTGAAAACAAAAGAGAAAACCCGAAAGGGAAAAATAGGACACTAAAAATAAGGATCCAAAACAAATGAGAAGCAAAAGGAATTTCCAGGATTTTAGAGAAAGATGGTTTCAGGATGTCTGGTGCACTTCAAACTTAGAAATCAATGAATCAAGCTTGGAGCTAGAAGTCTCTGGGTTGCAGAAATTGTATTTCTGCCAAGAAAATAAAACAAATGTAATGCCCAATGTATTTGAATATATTCAGGGGCTATTATCACATCTATTAGCAAATCTGGAGATAGATTTGTGATTAATATGGAGATAACTAAGCAAAATTAAAATGAGGTAATAAGAGACCTCGGGACTTAATATTGTACTAGAAATAAGATGTGATTGTGTTATGCTACATGGCTCAGCTATGAATGATAGGGGAGGGACAGCGGGGGGTGGGGAATTGGGGAGAGATAGCATGGGAGAAATGCCAGATATAGGTGAAGGGGAGGAAGGCAGCAAATCACGCTGCCATGTGTGTACCTATGCAACAATCTTGCATGTTATTCACATGTACCCCAAAACCTAAAATGTAATTAAACAATAAATAAAGAACATGGGAAAAAAATCCTAGTAATATAAACACATAACATTGATCTAACAAAAAATGTGATATAACTGTATTGAAAGAAAAGAATAACTGTATTGAGAAAATAGTGTATTATGAGTGAATATGGTTGTGTTATGCGTACATGCATTTGTTTATGTGTGGGTGGTTGGGTAGGCGTGTTGTTAAGTATTCAAAAGAACTGAAGTCTTATCCTCTCTAGTAGGCATTCAATGGAGAATATAAGAAGCTAAAAATTTTCAAGAAAAAGTATACAAACAGTATCTACAAATACAGAAATAAATATAAAAGAATAGCTTAAAAAATTGAAAAGCATTTCCTCAGGGGAGGAAGAATTGGGAATGAATAGGATGGAGAAGAAAATTGCTATTTTTCAGTACAAGTTTAGAAGTATCATTTAACTTTTTAAAATTTCTATTTGTAATTTACTTCAATAAGGAAAGGACAACAAAAGAAAAGGAGTTTATATACAAAGAGACAGAGACATATTCATAAAAATAAAAAGATTTCTCTGACAAGGGCAATTTGCAGTATAGGAAAGAATAATTGCCAAATTGAAGTGGAATGCCACCACCTCCTACTTGTTCACTTAAACTGGAGAATGGAAAAAAAGAGACTTCACCAATCATAAATGTCAATACATTTAACAGCCCCAACTAAGTGAGGCAGAAACCAGAATGAGGCCAGAAGTTAAGTGCATGATTATCTTTGCTTTGAGGTTTTACATGGTTCTCCCACCAAGTTCAATGCCAAGTACGCTGTTACAGATGCAATTAAAATTATAATTATCCTTAACCTACATGGTGGTCTTAGGGAATGTTAGATGTATTAAGCCTAATTAAAAACAAAACAAAACAAAAAAACTATGAGTAGATGCCTTTTTCTGACACATGGAAGATACAATCCAAGTCAGATTAATGATGTGACATTACTTCTGGCTGTGGAAGCTGAGACCGGTCAGAGCTGGAATAGCAGTAAGAAAGATAAATTGCCCCAAATCACAAGAAGCTGTAAAGCAGAAACACAAACAACCAAGCCTCTCATCATATACCAAACATTTCTCTGTTCTGAATCTTTAAAAAATGTGTTCCAAACTCCAGAAGGTGAATGTTCAGGATAGTCTGATTAAGAGACATAAGCTATGCAAAGAATTAGATAATTCAACACAATCACCTATGTTCTTTGCCCTGTGCTAGGTTCTGTATGAGACACAGAATATAAGATATGGTTTCTGATTTTGAGGAGCATGCAATCTAGTTGTGGAGACATAACTGGCATAGAAGAAACTTAAACAATTTGGACACTCTTATAATGAATAATAGATAACCAAAATTAAAGAAAAACTTGAGGAGTAGGATTATCTGAGGCCAGGAGTTTGAGAGCAGCCTGGGCAACATAGCAAGATCCTGTCTCTAAAAATAAAAAATAAAAAAAAATTAGCAGGACATGGTGGCACACAAAAGTGACCATCAGAGGCGGGCAGCATTAAGCCAAGGAAGATAATTTACTGACAAAATGCCCAGCCAGGAAGGATAAAGTCAACAGATCCCCATTTCTACCTCAGTAACAGCTTAACAGGACTAGGCCAGAGCAGATAAACTCAATGTAGAACTAATACAGACTACCTCATTTTACTGCACCTCACTTGACTGAATGTCACAGGTAATTTTTTTTTTTTTTTTAACAAATTGAAGCTTTGTGGCAACCCTGTGTTGAGCAAATCCAATTGGTGTCATATTTTTTCCAACAGCATGTGCTCACTTCACATCTCTGTGTCACATTTTGGTAATTCTCACAATATTTCAAACCTTGTCATTATTATTGTGTCTTTTAGAGTGATCTGTGGTCTTTGATATGACTATTATTGTTTGGAGCATCATGAACCATGCTAATATAAGATGGTGAGCTTATCTGATAAATGTGTTTGTTCTGACTTTCCCACTAATCATTCACCTACCTCACCACTGTGCCTCTCCTTGAGGCTCTGTATTCCTTGAGATACAACAATATTTAAATCAGGCCAATTAATAACCATATGGTGGCCTCTATTCAAGTGACAGGAAGAGTTGCACATCTCTCGTTTCTTTATTTATTGAGATGGAGTCTCACTATGTCACATATCCCTTTCCTTCCTTCTTTCCTTCCTCCATCCCTCCCCTCCCTCCATTCCATCCTTCTCCCTCTTTTTTTCTTTCTTTCTGAGATGGAGTCTCGCTCTGTCACCCAGGCTGGAGTGCAGTGGCACGATCTAGGCTCACTGCAACCTCCATCTCCCAGGTTCAAGCAACTCTCCTGCCTCAGCCTCCTGAGTACCTGGGATTACAGGTGTGCACAACCATGCCCAGCTAATTTTTGTATTTTTAGTAGATACAGGGTTTCACGGTATTGGTCATGCTGGTCTCAAACTCCTGACCTTTTGATCTGCTTGCCTCAGCCTCCCATACTGCTGGGATTACAGGCATGAGCCACCATACTCAGCAACATCTCTCACTTTAAATCAAAAGCTAGAAATGATTAAGCTCAGTGAGGAAGCCATGTTGAATGCCAAGAGAGATCTCTTGTGCCAGACAGCCAAGTTGTGAATGCAAAATATTCTTAAAGGAGATTAAAAGTACTACTCCAGTCAACCCACAAGAGATAAGAAAGCAAAACAGTCTTTAATACTTATAAGGAGAACATCTTAGTGATCTGGATAGGGGATAAAACCAGCCACAACATTCCCTCGAGCTAAAGCCCAACCTGAAGCCAAGCTCTAACGCTTTTCAATTATATGAAGGCTAAGAGAGGGGAGCAATCACAGAATAAAAGTTTGAAGCTAGAAGAAGTTGATTTATGAGATCTAAGAAAGGAAGCCATCTTAATGACACAAAAAGTGCAAGGTGAAGCAGCAAGTGCTAATGTAGAAGCTGCAGCAAGTTATCCCGAAGATTAGTTAAGATCATTAATGGAAGTGGCTACATTAACAACAGATTTTCAATGTGGATCAAAAAGCCTTCTACTGGAAGAAGATGCCATCTATAACTTTCAAACTACAGAGAAGTCAATGTCTGCTTTCAAAGTTTCAAAGGACAGGCTGACTCATTTTTTAGGGGGTAATGCCACTGGTCAGTTGAAGTTGAAACCAATGCTAATTTACCATTTCAAAAATTGTAAGGCTCTTAAGGATTAGGATAAATCTAATTCCACCTGTAATTTATAAATGGAACAACAAAGCCTGAATGACAGTACATCTCTTTACAACATAGTTAACTGAATATTTTAAGCCCATTGTTGAGAACTACTATTCAGAAAAAATAAATTCCTTTCAAAATATTGCCACTCATTGACAATGCACCTAGTCACCCAAGGGCTCTGACAGCTTTTATGCCAGCTAACAAAACACCCATTTTGCAGCTCATGGATCAAGAAGTAATTTTGACTTTCAAGTCTTCTTATGTTAAAAATATTTTTTGTAGTGCTCTAGCTTCCATAGATAGTGATTCCTCTGGTAGACCTGGACAAAGTAACATCAGGAAAGGATTTACCATTCTAGATGCCATAAAGAACATTTGTGATTCCTGGGAGGAGGTCAAATATCAAGAGTAATAGGGATTTGGAAGAAGTTGATTCTACTTCTGATGTGATTCAGAGGGCTTCAAGTCTTCAGTGAAGGAAGTAGCTGCAGATGTGGTAGAAATAGTGAGAGAACTAGAACTAAAGTGAAGATGGAAGATGTGACTGAATCACTGCAGTCTCATGATAAAACTTGAATAGCTGAGGAGATGCTTTTATTGGATGAGCAAAGACAGTGGTTTCTTAAGATGGAATCTATTCCTGTAAACATTGTTAAAAAGACAACAAATGATTTAGAATATTGCATAAACTTATTTGATAAAGTGGCAGCAGAGTTTTAAAGGACTGACTCCAATTTTCAATGAAGTTCTACTCTGGATAAAATGCTATCAAATAGCTTTACATGCTACAGGCATGAAAAGAAAACTCAATGTGGCAAACTTCGTTGTTACCTTAAGAAATTTTCACAGCCTCCACAACCTTCAGTGATCACCCTTCTGATAAGTCAGCAGCCATCAACACTGTAGCAAGACCCTCTATCAGCAGAAAGATTGTGACTCACTGAAGGACCAGATAATCATTAACATTTTTAAAGGAATAATGTATTTTTAAATTATGGTATATATGGCTTTTAAAAACACAATGCTATTGCTCACCTAATAGATTACTGTATAGTATAAATAATTTGTATATGCCTCAGGAAACAAAAAAAAATTTGTGTGACTTGCTTTATTGCATTATTTGCTCTTTAGTGGTGGTTTGGAACCAATCTGAAATATCTTTAAGGTATGCCTCAAAATGAATTCAGAAAGTTTCAGGATTAGAGCTAATAAATGCATTCAGTAAAGTTGCAGGATACAAAATGAACATAGAAAAAACAGGAAAACCCAGCAGCATTTTTTTTTCTCTAACAATTAACTCCCTGAAATAGAAATTTTTAAAAACTCTTACAATAGCTACAGAAAAAAAATAGGGGTACAAGATAGAATGAATAAGACCTATTACTTGATAGCACAAGAGGGCAACTACAGTTGAAAATAACTTAACTGTACATTTAAAAATAACTAGAAGAGTATAATTGGATTGTCTGTAATACAAAGGATAAATGCCTGAGAGGATGGATTCTTCACTCTCCATGTGATTATTATTCTCTGCATACCTGTAACAAAACATTTTATGTACCCATAAATATATTCACCTACTACTCATAAAATTAAAAAATTTAAAAAATGAAAGTTTCAAAAAATGCACTTAGAAATAAATTTAATCAAGGAGGTAAAAGATATGTACACTGAAAACTATAAAACACTGATAAAAAATTGAAGAAAATACAACTATGTGAAAAGATATTCTGTGTTCATTGATTGGAAGAATATTATTACCTGTCTGTACTGTAGTACAAGATTCTATACTATACTCAAAACAACTACAGATTCAATGTAATCCTAATCAAAATTCTAATGGCATTTCACAGAAATAGAAAAAAAAAATCCTAAAATTTGTTTGGAAATATAAAGACCCCAAATAGTAAAGGCATCACATTACCTGATTTCAGAATATATGACAAAGCTATAGTAACCAAAACAAATGGATACTGGCATAAGACAGACACATAGATCAACGAGCAAAATAAAGAACCCAGAAATAAATTCACACTGTAGTTAACACATTTGGACAAAGATGCAAAAATACAAAATGGGTAAAGGACAGTCTCTTCAATAAATTGTTAGCAAAACTAAATATCCACATGCAGAAAAATGAAATTGGTCCCTTATTTTACCCCATATACAAAAATCAAGTCAATATAAGTTAAAGACATATGTTAAGAACTGACACTGTAACACCACTAGTAGAAAACATACAGAAAAAACTTCATGATATTGTTCTAGGCAATGATATTTTTTATATGACTGCAAAAACACAGGCAACAAAAACAAAAATAGATAAATGAGATCATAGGAAACTAAAAAGCTTTTGAACAACAATAAAAATAATCAGAGTGAAGAGAGAAACTATAGATCGAGACAAAATATTTGCAAACCATATGTCTCACAAAAGACTAACATACAACTACATAATAATCTCAAACAGGTTAAGAGCAAGAAAACAACCTGATTAAAAACTGGCAAAGAATCCGAACAGGGACCGGGCGCGGTGGCTCAAGCCTGTAATCCCAGCACTTTGGGAGGCCAAGGCGGGTGGATCACGAGGTCAAGAGATCGAGACCATCCTGGTCAACATGGTGAAACCCCGTCTCTACTAAAAATACAAAAAATTAGCTGGGCATGGTGGTGTGTGCCTGTAATCCCAGCTACTCAGGAGGCTGAGGCAGGAGAATTGCCTGAACACAGGAGGCGGAGGTTGCAGTGAGCCGAGATCGTGCCATTGCACTCCAGCCTGGGTAACATGAGTGAAACTCCATCTCAAAAAAAAAAAGAATCCGAACAGATATTTCTATGAATGACCAATATGTCTTTGAAAACATGCTCAACATCACTAATCATGAAAGAAATGCAAATTGAAACCAGCATGAGATATCACTGTTTGTCTATTAGGATGTCTATTATGAAAAAATATAACAGATAAAAAGTGTTGGTGTAAGTGTGGAAAGAAGATAACACTGGTACACTGTTGGTGGGAATGTAAATTAGTATAACAATTATGTAAACGAGTATGGAGATTTTTCAGAAAGTTATCATATGATCATAATTTACCATATGATTCAGCAATACTATTACTGGGTACATCCAAAGAAAATGAAAGCAATGTGTGGAAGACTTAAATGCACTTCTATGTTCATGCAGCATTATTCAGAATAGCCAAGATAAACCATCAGCTGAAGTGTCCATCAAGTGGATGAATGGACAGACAAAATGTGGTATATACACACAACAGTATACTCTTCAGCCTTAAGAAGGAAATTCTTACACTTGTGACACTAATTAACCTAGAGAACATTATGTTAAGTGAAATAAGCCAGGCACAAAATGGCAAATACTACATGATTTCACTTATATGTGGAATCTAAAAACAAAGAATTCATAGAAGCAGAGAGTAGAATGTGATAGTTAATGGGGTCTAAGGAAAGGGAAAGATGGGGGAGGTATTAGTCAGAAGCTACAATATTTTATTTAGACAGGAGGAGTAAGTTTAGAGATTTATTGTACACCATGGTGACTATAGTTAATAACAATGTACTGAATTCTTGAAAATTGCTTAGAGTAAATTTTAAGAGTTTTCACCACAAAAACAAAAGGTTAAGTATGTGAGGCAGGGTTTACATTAGTTAGCTTGACTTACCCATTCTGCAATGTATATTAAAACATCATACTGTATTTAATGTATACAGTTTCATCAATTAAATAATAGAAAATAATATTGAGGTTCTAGAGTGTGGGTTTGGAGGTAGATGGTCACCTGAGCACACCTAAACTGTGTTTTTCTAGGTTTTGTAGAGCAAGTGTAATGAAGAGTCCCATGAAGATTATAGGAAGGAATGAACAAAGTAGGGAATCAGGACTAAACTCAGAAAGTTCAGTGGAGATTTTTATAATTATACAGTATTTTTAGTGTGGAGGTTATTCACAGAAATGCGTAGGGGTAACTAGAATTATTTGTTACAAGATACTGGGTTTTGGAGTTGGAAAAATTCTGAAATTTGGAATTGGATCTGGGCTCCATTTCATCCCACTTATATGTATGACCTTGAGTAAGTTACTTAACATGTCTACAACTCATAATTCTCTTCTGTAATTTGGGCAAAATAAAAGTACACATATCCTTGAAAGTATGTTTTGTTTAAAGACTAAATAAGCAAATGTATAAAAAGTGCTTAGCATAATTACTGGCATATAGCAAATGTTCAACAAATGTTAGCTGTTGTTATACTTGTTATTAGTGGGCCAAGGATATACCCAGAAATTACATCATGGATATCTTTGTGCTTCTTAGTGGCTTCCTAGGTAAAATTCAAAGAAAGGTTTATATCTTGGATGTACAGG